GTGGTGCCACTGAGCTAAATCCCCAGCCCTGTTCCCAATTTAGTAACAACAGATGTACAGATTATCTCTTTTACAAGTTAAAAAGAAAGAAAGAATCCCTCTGGAGCTCTCGAAAGCTTTAAGCACTGAGCCAAGGGAGGATCACAAAGTTACGAAGTACAGAAATAGGACTGGAACCCAAATCTTTGATTCACAACCATAGCAACTAATCACCAGGTTAGTCTACTCTAGCCCGATTCTAACCCAGACATCTTTTTTTTGTTTATTTGTTTTTTTGTTTTTTGAGACAGGGTCTCACTATGCAGTTGAGACTGCCCTGGAACTCACTATGTAGCCCAGGCTGGTCTCGAAAGCACAGTGATCCTCCTGCCTCAGCCTCCCGAGTGCTGGGATTACAGGCATGCGCCACCACGCCCGGCTAACCCAGGCATCTTAAAACCTGACCCAGTGTCCTTACTTGTCTCTGACTGCTTTTCCTCTTCGATATAACATGTTCTGCTGTCTCCCTCTGCCAGCTCCACCCGCCTGAAACAGCGCCAGCAAACGTCGACGGAACGCAGCGAAGGGCACACAGTAGGTGCGCGGCCAGGTCAACTTCCGGGGCGGGGCCTCAGGTAAAGGAAACCCGCCTGGTCCCGCCCCCTCCATTAAGGCCCCGCCCCTTATCCCGGATACACCCTGGCTGTCTCGCGCGTCCTTTTCAGAGCATCGCAGGAGGGGACTGTACACACCCTCACCGGAAGTGGAAGTCGCGAGCGCGCGTCCCGGAGAGTGCACTGGACTACACTTCCCAGAGTGGCCCGCGCCGCCTCTCCCAGGTTTGGACTTCCGCCCGGGTTTCAACCCTGCTGTTTTATGTTTGTCCGAAAGTTAGCTCTGCGAGGGGCTCTAAGGAAGTTGCCTCAACCTCCTCGCGGCCGCGTCCTTACCATAGAGCTGGCCGACTGTCCCCTGCGTGCTCTGATCATCCCTACGTCCACATGGGGGAGGGGGCGGGGGTGCACACCTGTAATCCCAGAACTCTGAGAGGCTAAAGCCGGAGAACCGCAATTTGGAGCCAAGCCTGGGCACCCTAGTTACTCAGTGAAACCCCGTCTCAAAATTTTAGAAGGCCTGGGGGGGCTGTAATTCAGTGCGAAAGCCGCGGATTCAGTCCCCAGTGTGAGGGGTGGGGGCGGGATAAGGAGGAAATCCACAAGGAGGAGCAGAGGACATTAATCTCGAAGTTGCGACTCATTCGCAACCGTTCATCCTGTCAGCTGTTTTAAAGCCGTACACTGAGGCCGGGAGGCGGAAGTGGGAGGTCCTCTGTGATCCGGGCCAGCCTGGGCTTCGTAGTTCAAGGCCAGCGTGAAGTACATCATGAGATCCTGTCACAAATAAACCCCTAAACAAACAACAACAAAACCAACTGCACATTGAATCATCATATCTGCAGGCTTTACCAGGCACCAGCATTCTGAGCGGTGAGCAGGTACCTGTTTTCCTGGCGTTTGCATTCTACCAAAAGAGGCATACAGTGACAGAATAATTACACAGATAATCATTAAATCACACTTGTGCTAGAGGTTACCAAATGGTGTAAAGCAGATGCAAACTCCCAGAGCAGTGACCTGGTTTTGTTCCCTGCAGAACCCTCTGCTTCAGTGTGCATGGTGGGCCCTGGAAGGTGGCCTGTAGCAATATGCACTTTGTGCTCTGGAACCTGCAAGTAATGTGTTACCTTATATGATTTGGTGGATGCAATGAAATTCGGGATTTCGAGATGGGAAGATTATCCTGAATTGTCCTGGTGGGTCCTCGTGCATCTTTACAAGAGAGAGGCAGAGAGGGATTGGACCCAGGACAAGGCAGTGTGACTCCTGGGATGAGAAGGGTCATGATGATGCATGCCTGTAATCCCAGAGGCTGAGGGAAGGAGGATCAAAAATCCAAGTGCTGCCTGGGCAACTTAGTATGACCCCATCTTAAAAAAAAAATTGTAGCTCAATGGTAGAGCATCCCTGGGTTGAATCCCCAGCCAGTGCTGGGTAGGGGGTGCTAAACTGCTAGCTGTGTGTGGTGGCACATACCTATTACTCCGGCACTATCCCATCACTCTGGGAGACAGAAGAATTGCAAGTTCAAGCTTACCCTGGGCAACTTAGACACTTAATAAGATCTTGTCTCTGTCTCTACATCTATCAATCTATTGATCCATCACTGGGGATGTAGCTCAGTGCAGAGGTCCTGGGTTCAATCTGTAGCACCACAAGAAAAAGAAAAGAGAGCCAGGCTGATAGCTCTGAAAATGGAGAAAGTTACCACAAGCAAGTAACATAGGTATAGACGCTGAGAAATGCAAAGAATCGAAGTCTCTAGAAGCTGGGAAATGCAAGGCGTTGGATTCTCTTCTGGTGGCTCTAGCGACAGTATTTTCATAAAGAATCCACTTGTCAGAAATAGGCTTTTTTTTTTTTTTTTTTTTTTTTTTTTTTTTTTAAAACATTATTTATAAAAACTCCACTATTTCTAAATATTCTTTTTTTTTTTTTTTTTTTTTTTTTTTTGTAGCAGCGGTCAAATTTGAGACCTTGAGCTTTTGAGGAAGGCAACAGAACCACTGAGCTCAATCCCTGGCCCAGAGATAGGCTTTTGAAAGGAAAGTTTATTCCAGGTAACAGAGACTAAATTCAGGAGAGTCTAGCTGTGAGGATGAGCTGACCATGGGGTAGTGGCAGCTAGCTGGGGGAGATTTCATCCCTGAGAGGATGGGCTAACACCAGGAGAGAGATATTAGCAACTGCCTGGGAAAGGAATGAGGCTTATATAGGTATTGAAGGGGCTAAGGGATCGGGGGAAATAGTCATGACTTGGATGCCCAGGCACAGTCTGCTCAGGTGTGTACACACTCACTGGACTTCTCCGTGCCAGGGGGGTTGGTTACATACTTTACTTTGAGTCCGTTTGCCTTATTTACTGAGAAGCTGCTGTTTGCTAAAAGCAGCCTGTTTGCTTTGTCCCTTTTGTTTGTGAAGGACTCACTTAAGTCAGACCTGACGGTATGTCCCTCCTTCACTACTCCTGATACCCTATAGGGTACTCTGAACATGTATGCATGGGTGTCATGACTCCTAGCCAGGGGAGGTTGTCCCCGCCCCAGGAGGCATGTGACGGTATCGAGGTGATCTTTACTGTCACAGCGTGGGGAGTTACTACTGGTGTATGGTAGGTGGAAGACAGAGGTGCAGCTGTACATTCTACAGTGCACAGGATGGCAAAGGATAAACCGGCCTTAAATGTCAACAAGGCCGGGGCTGAGACATGCAGGGTTATCTCTAATACCTATTCCTAGAAATGCATTTGCTGAGCCAAGGAATGTGTGCTGTAGAAATACTGTGGACATTTCCAGATTTCCTAGGGCTAATCTGCAGCTTGGGAACGCGCTTCTGCCCGGGGCAGTGTCTTACCCTTCAGGTTTCAACTTGCCTCCTCTGAAATGTCGGTTTTGGGCGTTGTGTGTGCTTGTGGGCTGCAAGGCCAGAACAACCCAAGGCTGAAGTCAACCAGGGTGCAGTGGAGAAGCAGGTGTGTGAATTCAGTGGTCAACAGCTATGGGGCTGGCAGCACAGGGATCTTTCGGTAAATAGTTGTATTCTGAGTGCCCGCCGTGCACTGGATGCAGGAATGAAATTGACACATACCTGCTGCCACAGAGGTCCCAGTCTAATGAAGGAGATTAATCAGAAACAAACCATGTGATTGAGTCGGGGAAGTCAAGGAGGGCTAGGGTAATACTACTCTGTAGTGTTATCACTGGATGGTCACCATCACCTCATATATAACCTTATAGGAGCTGGGGTGTCCCTCCAGTCCCTTGGATTGTGGGTGTCCCTCTTCCTTTAATTACCAAACTGAACGAGCTTCAGCCCCATCATATGAAATCCCTGTGAAGTCCATCTGTCTTTGAGGGTGCTGAACATCTCAGGAGAGCACGGTTCACTCACTGTGCCACAGGTCCCTGCCCTGGAGCCATCCTGTTGCCGGCACCTCTGTCTTTTCACTTTCTCTGGGCTGTGGCAAGTATGCTTGAGGAAGGGTCAGTTCTGTCTGAGCGTCAGTGCTACAAGAGTGATGTGATCAGCTGGACATGGTAGTGCACACCTGTGGCAATGCAGGCTGAGGCAGGAGGAGATCCTGTCTCAAAAAAAAAATAAAAGAATGGGGCTGGGATTTAGCTCAGTGGTGCCATGCCTGCCCCGCAAGGGCAAGGTCCTGAGTTCAATCCCCGGTACTGCAAAGAAAAGAAAAGAAACTGAGGCACAGAGAGTATGTGACTTGCTCAGCCAGGATTTTCACAGCAGCCTGGTAAGACACTAAATGAAGAATCATTTGCTCCCCATCCTGGTCTGGTAGGGCTTGGAAAATAGTCAGGTGGGCCCACATGGCTCAGGATTTGGCGAAGACAACCAGAGGTCTACCACCAATGAGAAGGTGTTTTGTTTATGTTTGTTTGTGGTACTGAAGATTGAACGCAGGGCCTCTGCACTGAGCTACATCTCCAGCTCATTTTTTATTTTATTTTATTTGTTGTTGTTGTTGTTTTTGTTTTTGTTTTTTGAGACAGTGTCTCAGTATGTAGCCCAGGCTGGTCTCGAACTCATAGTGATCCTCCTGCCTCAGCCTCCCGAGTGCTGGGATTATAGGCATGCACCACCACGCCCAGATTTTATTTATTATTTTGAGACAGAGTCTCACTGAACTGCCTAGGCTAGACTCGAACTTGCAATCCTCCTGCTTTAGCCTCCCAGAGTGCTGAGATTACATGCAGGAGCCACCATGCCCAGCTGATGGATAGCTTTTAGAATTCATAGTCCAGCCCTGGATCACGAGTGAGAAGTCCAGCTCTGGATCTTGATGGAGGGGGGAAAAAAATCTCTTAAGGACCTTGGCTCTTGGATCTTACACTATTACTTCAAAGAACCATGCTTTCATTTGAGGCTAGGTCAAGGAAGTCATTTACAAGATACCTTTCGTCATCAAAGCATAGCTTTTTATAAAAGACAATGTCTATCTTTAACAGATACTGTAGGATACAGGTGTGTGTCGAGGTCCAGTTGCTAAGAATTTGGGGAGCCCTGCAGGTCTAAATCTTTTGGAACTCAGAACTCATACTTGGGTTCCTCCTGGGTTCACTTGCAGGCCCCTGAGGGTCCAGGTGTAGTCGGCTGACCAGCAGAGGTGGGAGGCAGCTTCACGGGGGGCAGGTTCACCCAGCCTGGCCCTCGAGGCAGCTGGTGGCTCTCGTTGAGTCTGACAACACGGTAGTTCTCATAGTGGATGTTGTGGGTGATGTCCTTCAGGTCCTGCATGTGGGAACTGGGCAGTGGGAGGCAGGTCAGCCCCAGCCACAGCAGCTCCTGGAGCTCCCTTTCCAGCTGCCCAGCCCCAGGACAACCCAGGCCTCACCGGATGAGCAGATCTCTCAGGAGAGGAAACTCGCAGTGCGCCGTGTTCTCCACTGTGAGACATGGTACTGATTGGGTACTGTGCAGCTGCCTGCCCTCAGCAAGCACTGAGTATGCGCCTGCTCTGCCCCTGCCATTTCCCCACGTTTCTCACTGCGTTATCCCACCTCCCCTTCCTTGGTTTGTTCATTCCTTAATTCATTCTTGGACAGTGATTCCTATGAAAAGTTGTTCAACCCACCATTATTATTGTATTCTGCTTATTGTACCCTAGGTAATATACATGTATTTCTATGGCTGATAATAATAAATCGGGGGCCAGACCCAGGCTGCTCCTTCTCCCTTACTTTCCAGCCTTCCCTCAGCAGCAGGCCTTCCAACTCCCTAGGCTCCTGCTACCTTCCTCCCTCCCACCAATTTCCTTTACTGTGTTTCTCCCTCTGCCATTGGAAACGGACTCATCAGTTCTGCTTTTGTTATATTCCTTCAGGAACTACACAGAGTGGTGCCTGGCACATAGTAGGTCCACAGTAAATTCAGTGAGCCCAAAGGCACCTGCAGTGCTGCAGGGCTGGGCATTGTCCAAAGTGGTGGTGCTGTCACCTCCAGCCACGCTGTGATGTTGATGTTGCCCTAAGAACCCCATTTTGCTATGAAGAGACTGAGTGAGGTCCCGGGACATAACTTGCTCAAGGCTTTCCAGATGGTGAGAGGAGACTTTTTCAGGTCTATCTGTCCCCTGTCCGTGGGCTTAACCTCCCAGGGTCTGGAGAAGGTAACAAAGATGCCAAAGGCATAGGGCACACCTTGGTTTCAACCTGCCCTCCCCTGCATCCGCTCAGCCTCCCAGCACTGACCTTCGATGATGCCCCACTTGGTCTTCCGGGCCAGGACGCACCTCCCGTTCACCAAGTGCTCTTGGTCTGCCCCGACCACAGCGAATGGGATCCGCTCCTAGGGGCAGGAAGAGGTGGGAGGATGGGCTTGTGGGGGAGGCAGGAGGCAGGAGGGAGGGTCACTGGCCTTTGTGGAGGGGATGGATGCAAGTTCTAAGAAGTCCAAAGGCACAAAAGCTAGAACCACACCTCTGTTGCCTCATCTGTGAAATGGGGACACTAACAGGCCTGTCACACGGCCTTGTGTGTAGTGGTAAAGCTTTTGACATAGTGAAAAATTAGCAGAGTTACTGTTGGAAACTGTGTTTTTGTTTCTTGTTTTTTTTTTTTTTTTTTTTTTTTTTTTTTTTTTGGTACTGGGGATTGAATTCAGACCCTTGATACTTGCAAGGCAGGTGCCGGAACCACTGAGCTAAATCCCCACCCATGTTCTTGTGTTTTTAAAAATAGGATCTTGCTATATAGTTCGGGCTGACCTTGAACTAACTACATAGCCCAAGCTGGCTTTGAACTCGCAGTGATCCTCCTGCCTCAGTCTCCCCAGTGCTGGGATTACAGGTGTGCACCCCCACACTTGGCGAAAACTGTGTCTTTGTTAATGACCATATTAATAATATAATCTTGGAGCTCGAAGTGTAGCTCAGTATTACAGGCTGCATTTGGTATGTGCAGGGCACTGGGCTCAATCCCCAGAACTGAGAAAGAAAAGAAAAGAAAAATATAATATTGCTAATATTAACTTCTTACCTATGACATGGAAACAGTAATCACTTTTTTTTTTTGGTTTTTGGTTGTTTTTTTGTTGTTATTGTTTTGTGGATTTTTTTTTTCTTTTTTTGTTTTTTTTTTGGTACCGAGGATTTTTTTTTTTGGTGCCGAGGATCAAACTTGGGTCCTTGCGCTTGCGAGGCAGGCAGCAGAACCACTGAGCTAAATCCCCGGCCCCCTAGTTTTGGTTTTTGACGTGGGGTCTCAGCATGTAGTCTAGGATGGCCTTGAAGTCACTATATATCCCAGGCTAGTGAGTGATCCTCCTGCCTCAGCCTCCCAAGTGTAAGGATTATAAGCATGTGCCACCACACTACACCTAGTAATTACCTACAGAGGTCAAAATAAGTGACTTTGACTTTGTACTTGAACTTCTCCCTACTTATTTATCTTCTCTTTTGCTGTGTGTGTGTGCATATGTATATATATTTTTATATATACATATATTCTCATTAAGTGAAACCATGTAATATTTAATTTTGTGTGCCTGACAAATTACTTATGTCATTGTTTATAAAGTATTTTAATATTTATGTTAATTTGTTTCATTTATACTACTAGTTTCTCTTAGTTCACTGAAAAGAAAGTTGTGCATTATCTGTTTGTTTCTTCTTTGTAAGAATCTCTTTTCTGTGTGTCTTGTACTCTGAGTGACTACTTTAAAGATAATGATAAAATGTATGAACTGTTACTATTCTCTTACTCTATTGTATGAAATGCTGCCGGGTTTCCTCCAGAGAGTTTTACAGGCACATAGTTAAGCCCATTCATTCCTCTTCTCTTGTCTGTGCTGTTATGAGTTGAGTAATTGCAGCAGAGACTGTCTGGGCCACAGAATCTGAAACATTTACCATCCCACTCTTTGCAAAAAGTTTGCTAAGGCCACCCTACTGTAAAATCTCTCTGTTCTATTATGGCCATGGGTGTAAATTCAAACTGGTGCTCTCCAAAGCACTGGATATGTTATTTATCTATTTTGCAGTACTGAGAATTGAAACCAGGGGTGCTCTACCCCTGAGTTACATCCCTAGCCAATTATTTTTTTTGTGGGTACCAGGGATCAAACTCGGGACTTTGTGCTTGTGAGGCAGGCAGCTGAACCACTGAGCTAGATCCCTGGCCCGCCCAGCCAGTTTTATTTTCCTGTTTTGAGACAGGGTCTCACTAGGTTGCCCTGGTGGGCCTCAAACTTGCGATCATTTTGCCTCAGCCTTCCAGGTACCCGGGATTACAGGCAAGTGTCACTGAGCCCAGTTATTAAGTGCTGGGGATCAAACCCAGGGCCTTGTACATGCTAGGGTTAATAATAATAACTTTGGTTGCATGCTTATTTTCTGCCAGCCCATGCTAAATGCACATGTCTGGATGCTTTGTTTTTTTGTTTGTTTTTGCTTTGGTACCGGCCATTGACCTCTGGCCCTTGGGCTTGCAAGGCACGCACTGGAACCACTGAGCCAAATCCCCAGCAGGGTGCTGTTTTGAAATGCTGCTCCTGGTAATTCCCCAAGCCGTGTTCCAGTGGTGCCTATCTTACTTCAGGACAGAAAGCACAAGCTGATGAAGATCAGGGTTTTATCTTACCAGGAACCTGGCTTCATTGCATCAGTGGGAAGGAGAAAGAAGCGGGTGTAAAGGAACTGGGTCTGACCGGAAGCAAGGTCTCCAGGTACAGATGTGCCATTCGTTCACCAGAAGGACACCTGGCCATGAGGCTGGTGGGGCTAAAACCACATGCAGGCCCCAGCTGCGAAGGGAGCACTTCTGTACCTACCAGAAGCACCGTGTAGGTTAGCAGAGCTCCGCGGAGAGGGGTTGAGGCCTGGAGTCTATGGGCAGTGAGTCCTGGTTTTGCAGGATCCAGATGGACTGGCAGTGAACTTGCCACATAGGTGGCAGGATGGGGCTTAGGGCAGGAATTTGGAGGATTTGGAGAAAAATGAAGATGTGAGCTTGCTTGTTTGTTACCTTTGTCTGTCTGTCTGTCTCTTTCCATCTTTTCTAACAGCTTTATTGAGGTAAAATTCACATATCTAAATTCTGCCCTCTTACAGTATATAGGTCAAGCCAGGCATGGTGGCACATGCCTGTAATCCCAGCACTCTGGAAGGCTGAGCCAGGATGGTAAATTTGAGCCCAGACTAGTTAATTTAGTGACTTAGTGAAACCCCGTCTCAAAAAATGAAAAAGGGCTGGGGCCCTGGATTCACTCCCCATTACCACAAAAGCAACTGTTAGCTAACTAAATGAAGTGTATAGTTCAGTGGGTTGCAGTATATTCACCGGGTATGCAACCTTCATCACTGTCTAACTCCAGAACATGTGCATTACTCTGAAAAGAAACCCCACCCCCACTGTCCCCTCTCCCTGGGCTTTGGCACACACAGATCTATTTTCTATCTTTATGGATTTGCCTATTCTGAACATTTCATATAAATACTACCATTTAGTACGTGGCCTTTTGTGCCTGGCTTCTTTCAATTAGCACAACATTTGAGGTTCACCCCTGCTGCTGCCTGTGTCTGTGCTTGCCTGCTTGCCTGATTGCTTGCTTGCTTGCTTCCCTCCTGTGGCTGAGCACTGCCCCCTGGCTGGGCAGAGCTCGCTGTGTTTATCCACTCATCTGTTGATAAGCAATTGAGTCATTTCTGCTCTTGGACTGTCATGGTCAGTGCTGCAGTGAACATTCAGGTACAGGTTGTTTTGAGTGGATGTGTGCTTTGTTTTCTTTTCTTTTTCTTTCTTTCTTTTTTTTGGGGGGGCGGGTACTGGGGATCGAATTCAGGACCTTGCGCTTGCGAGGCAGGCAGCAGCGTCCCTGAGCTAAATCCCCGGCCCAGTGTGCTTTTATTTTCTCTTGTGTGAATGTATGTTTTCATGAACCCACGTTTGCAAACTAGTAGTGTGGTGCCTGGGTCATAGAGTAGGGACGTTTGCACACTTGAGGAGCTGCCGGACTGTCTCCCAATCTCCCGCACCTCTGTGCAGTCCACCAGCAATGTGTGAGGGTTCTGGATCCTTTGCACCCGGGCAACCCCCGCACCCACCCCGTGCCCCAGGTACTGAGGATCAAACTCAGGACCTTGTGCTTGTCAGGCAGGCACAGCACCACTGAGCTACATCCCCAGCCGACACTTGCTTTTTTTTTTTTTTTTTGGTATCGGGCTCTTGCCGCTTGTAAGGCAGGTGCTGGAACCACTGAGCTAAATCCCCAGCCCTGCACTTGCTTTTTATTATGGCCCTGTGCTGTGGTTTGTCTCTCTTCCCAAATTCAAGTTCGAGGAAAAAAATGTTGCTAGCTGTTCCTCAGATAAATGACTAATACCTAGAATATATGAACTCAAAAAAAATCAGATCTCCCCAAATAAAAGACTCAACGAAAAAATGGGCAGCTGAAATAAATCGACACTTGTCAGAAGTACAAATGGTTCATAAATACATAGCAAAATGGTCAACATCTCTGGCCATTAGAGAAATGCAAACTAAAACAACAATGAGATTCCATCTTACCCTAGAAAGGATGACCATCATCAAGACAAACAATAGCAAGTGCTGGTGAGGCTGTGGGGAAAAAGGAACCCTTCCTATATTGTTGGTGGGAGCATGAAATATATGACCACTATGGAAATCAGTATGGTGATTCCTCAAAAAATAAAACAAGAAATTCCCTCTTACCCAGCTATTTCCCTTCTAGATATTTCCCCAAAAGAGTTAAAGAGATCATGCTACCATGATGCACGCACGCCCAGGTCAAAAGCAGTACAACTTACACTAGGTAAACCTTGGAAACAGCCTATACGTCCATCAACAGATAAATGGATTTAAAAAGGTGGTGTTTATACACCATGGAATACCTCTCTGCAATAAAGGATAAACTTGAATCGTTTTTTTTTTAAATTTGCTTCATTTGTAGAAAACTGGACGCACCTTGAGACTATAATGTTAAGTGAAATAAATCAGACACAGGGCTGGGGATTTAGCTCAGTGGTTCCACTGCCTGCCTCGCAAGTGCAAGGTCCCGAGTTCAATCCCTGGTACCAAAAAAAAAAAAAAAAAATCAGACACATAAGCTTAAGTATCACGTAGTTTCTCTTATATGAGAAACCCAAAATATACATAAAAATAAAAATAAAAGATAAGTAACAGGAAATAGGGAGATAGATTTTTTTGTAAATGGGAGGGGAGGGGACCAAGAGACTGAAGGATTATGGGAGTGAGGGGCCCAGAAGAGGGTGAGAGGGTCACGAACCAACTCCACCCAAGAAATGTAATCATTATGTGCTGCAGACATGTATGAAGAAAAATGAAAATTGAGAGAAAAACTCTGTTTGGAGGTGGTGGTTGCTGCAGCAGTGTTAGGAGGTGGGTCTGTGGGAGGGGTGTGGAGAAGGCAGAGCCCCAAGTCGTTTAGTGCCTTCTGCAGAGTGGGTTGTTGCTGTTGTGGGACTGGATGTGTCACCTCTCTGCATGCACTCTGCCCTCCACATCACCACCATGGGTGCAGCCGCATGAGGCCTTTTCCAGAAGCCAAGCAGAGGCAACTGCTATTTTGGACTTCCAGTACTGTGGTCTAGGTAAGTGCTTTACCACTGAGCCCCAGCCCCAGCCCAGAACCACGATCTCAATGAGGTTCTTTCTTTCTTTTTTTTTGGTACCTGGGATCGAACTCGGGACCCTGCACTTGCAAGGCAGGGGACGGAACCACCGAGCTAAATCCCCAGCCTGAGGTTCTTTCTTTATAAACTGCCCATTCTCAGGTGTTCTGTTGGTAGCAACAGAAAACTGATGGGTGTGGAGTGGGGCGCTCACTGTGGTTTTGATTACATTCCCCTAATGACTGATGGTTTTGGACACCTTTTTGTGTGCTTTTCAGCCATGTATAGATCTTTGGGGGAAATATCTATTCAGATATTTCGCCCATTTTGTTTTTCAGATTGCAGTGCTGAAGGTTGAACCCAAGGCCTTGTGAATCGAATGCTAGGCAAGTAATCTACACTAAGCTACATCTCCAGCCCTTGCCTTTTGTGTGTCTGTGGCACTGGGGATTGACCCAGGGCCTCCATATTGAGCTATATGCCTTACCCTGTTTCAATTTTTTTTTTTTTTGGTACCGGGGATTGAACTCGGGTCCTTGCGCTTGCAAGGCAGGCTGCCAAACCGCTGAGCTAAATCCCTGGCCCTTCAATTTTTTATTTTGAGAAAAGGTCTTGCTAAGTCACTAAGCTGCCCAGGCTGGACTCAAACTTTCGATCCACCTGCCTCAGCCTCCCAGAGTGCTGGGACTATAGGTGTGCACCACCAGGCCCCACCTTGCTTCCATTTCTAAATTGAGTTATCTTTTATTATTGAGTTGTAAGAGTTCTTTATATCTTCAGAATACAAGCTCCCTATTAGAGATGTGATTGTGAACATTTCCTCCTGTTCTGTGGATATGGATGTGGAGATAGTAGAGGAATGGAAATTTTAGTCTGCTGGAAATCTGTGCAGCTTTCCCTGAGTTGTAGAAAGATGGAGAGGACGGGTGGGAGATCACCAGCCTCAGTCCCACCAGCCTGTGGCCCTTCTGCCTCTTACCCGGATCTTGCTGTTGAGAATCCTGTCGTTGACATCCTCATCGAAGCGCTTCTGGGGATACACATCGATGCAGTGACTTTTCAGGTCTTTCTGGATCTGGTGACCAGACACAGGTGACTTCAGCCTGCTCTGCCCACTCTGCCCAGGGCCACCCCGATCCCAGCCCTGCCCTAGACATCCAGATCACCCTGCTCCTGAAGGCCTCACGCTCCTCGATGGTCAGGCTGTCGGCCCGGGCAATCACGGGCACTACATTCACAGTCCGGCACAGCCGCTGCAGGAACTCGATGTCCAGGGGCCGCAGGCTGCCCGGGCAGGGCAGGGGCAGCAGTGGCGGTGGTGTCAAAGGCATGAGTGATGGGAGAGGCAGGCTGAAGCCCACCCTGGGGACCCCTCTTTCTCGTCTCCACCCCATGCAGGTGGCCCTCCCCAGGCTGGTCCAGCCACCTCACCAATGCCCAGTGGGCGGCACGAAGTATACACAGCAGTGTACCCGGGTGTCAGGGATGTGGTGCTGACGTGTGATGAGAATTTCCTCCTGCAGGTACCGCTCATACTGCTCGTTGATGTAGCCCAGGATGGGTTCCCAGCTGGGGTGGAGACGCCTCCCCTCAGACTCCCACCCCAGGTCCTCTGGGTGGACCGCTCTTAGGGTAACTGCTACTCTTGGTTCGTCAAGGACCACTCAGTCGCCTATAACCCTTTCCCATCCCTGGCATCATCAGAGAGACGGAGAGGACCCCCCCACACCATTCTGGGCCTGAGGTCTCAGTTTCCTGGTCTGTAACATGGCAACCACAGCAGCACCTGCTCTGTAAGGGGGAGGTGAGCATGAAATGACACTGCTGGCCACCAGCCTGGTCTCGAAAGATTGCTGCAGGAGTCTCCCTCTATGGGTTCCTCCCTCTTCAAACGTCCTTTAAAAGAGGGGTCTCAGGGGGCTGGGGATTTAGCTCAGTGGTTCCACCACCTGCCTGAAAAGTACAAGGACCTGAGTTCGATCCCTGGTACCAAAACAAACAAACAAACAAACAAAAAGAGCGGTCTGGGAGGGGGATGTGGCGCAGTGGTCAAGCACCTCCCTAACATTCATGAGGTCCTGGGTTCCATCCCCAGCCCCACAAAACTAAAACAAAACAAAGGTCAGACCATGTCCTTTCTGCTCAACCTCCAGTAGCCAAAGAAAGGCCATTGCTGTACAAGGGCTTATAACCAGCCCACACCCTCTTCCTTCCTGCCTTCTCCCTATGGCTCCTGTTCCCACCGGCATCAGGTCTGCCCCACCACAGGGCCTTTGAACTTGCTGCTTCCTCTGCCTGGACCACCGTTCGCCCACACATCCATGTGCCTCACTTTTCATCTCCAGGAAGCCTGCCCCAAAGCTACCCCTCAAGGAAATGGACCTCCCACGGCCTTCCTCTACCACTAAGCTACACTCCAGCACCCACTTCAGTGTAATTATCAACAGTGAGCTCTTTCATGCTCACAGATACTTTTATTCAGCCAGGCACAGTGCACATGGCTGTAATTCTAGCTACTTGGGAGGATGAGGCAGGAGGATTGCAAGTTTCAGGCCAACCCAGACAACCTAGTAAGCCCTTGTCTCAGAATAAAATGGGCTGGAGATACACTTTGGTGCTCCCGGGTTAATCCCCCAGTCCCCCACCCTGCCTCATATACACACTCACAGAGACTTGAATAGACTGTATTTTAGGTTCAGCTACCCTATAACTGATTTTGTTCATCACCTGTCCTCCCTCTGCTCTCTCTTCCGCGGAGGCCAGGGTGTTCACCTGTCTTGTTCCTCGCTGAATTGGCCATGTCTAGAGCACAGCTCAGCGCATAGTAAGTGCTCCCCACAGCGTCCTGTGCAAGGCCAGCTTCACAGGAGAGCTGCAGTGCAGTCACACAGGGAGCCAAACTTAGAAGGCTGTGGTCTTATACAGTTTTAAGAGCACAGCTCAGCGCATAGTAAGTGCTCCCCACAGCGTCCTGTGCAAGGCCAGCTTCATAGGAGAGCTGCAGTGCAGTCACACAGGGAGCCAAACTTAGAAGGCTGTGGTCTTATACAGTTTTGGGGTGGTGGTATTGGGAACTAAACTCAGGATACTCTGCCACTGAGCTACATTCCCAGAGCTTTTTAGTTTTTCTTTTTTCTTTTCTGTTTTTTTGAGACAGGGTCTCACTATGTATTTGAAACTGACCTAGTACTCACTATGTAGCCCAGGCTTGTCTCGAACTCACAGCGATCCTCCTGCCTCAGCCTCTGAAGTGCTGGGATTACAGGTGTGCGCCACTACGCCCTGCTTTAGTTTTTCTTTTGAGATTGGGTCTCAATAAGTTGCTAAGCTGCCCAGGTTGGGCTCAATCTTTGATCCTTCTGCCTCAGCCTCCCGAATACCTAAGATTACAGGCATGTGCTGCTGTACAGTACTCGGCTGACAGTCTTAATAACTTTTGAATCAGAGGTCCCACATTGTCACTGCACTGGATCCCACCAATTAAGCAGCTGATCCTGGCTGTGTGTGTGTGTATATGTGTGTGACCAACTCCTCTCAGTCCCAAGTTACAGTGAAGGAAACCAGGGCTCTGAGAGCTCTATGACCAGTCCTGGTGATGTAGCTGGCAGCAGCCTGACCCAGGAATTCTGACTGGGGAATGTGGGCTTCCAGACCTCTGCTGAGTGCTCTCTGCGTACAGATGGCCGGCTGAGACCTTCACGTTCTGCCCTCTCCACAGTTAGAGGGGCGCTGAGGACACCCACTGTACGACAAGGAAACTGAGGCTGGAAGAGTACTGGGCGTCTCCCAGAGGTCGGGAGGGCAACAGCAGGAGTGGGCTCCCGGACCTACCACTTGTCGTTGTTGATCTGATCCCCGAAGCCGGGAGTGTCGGTCACTGTGAGCTTCAACTTCAGCCCCTTCTCCTCGATGACTGTGGATGCAGGGAGAGCGAACAAGGGGCAGGTTGGCCCGGGCGGGGCGGCGGGGCTGTAGCCGGGAGGGCCCCTCAACAGGGCCCCTCACCGTGGGTCACTGAGTGTAGCTGCAGCGTCTGGGGTATGGGTACCGCTGGCACCGGCAGGGGCGACTTCCATACTTCGGACTTGAACAATGTGTTCACCATTGTGGACTTGCCCAGCCCACTCTGCCCTGGAAGAGACCAGATGCAGCAGTCACAGTGAGTACTTTAGGCAGTGTGTCTCCAACTCTTAAAGAAACACCATATTTTGAAAAATAAACTTTCGTTTTGGTCTGGGTGTTTTTTTGTTTTTGGTACCGGGGATCAAACTCAGGACCTTTCACTTGCAAGGCAGGCAGTGGAACCACTGAGCTAAATCCCCCGCCCTGTTTTTTGTTTTTAGGCAGGATCCTGCTAGGTAGTTCAGCTAGCCTTGAACTCACAGCAATACTCCTGGCCTCAGCTTCCCAAATTCTGGGATTACAGATTACCTGGCTTGGAAAATAAACTGTTTATTGACAAGTGCATGCTATGGTAAATGTCTGCTTCAATGCCCTCCTTCCCATTTCTTTTTTTTTTGTTTTTTTGAGACAGGGTCTCACTATGTAGTTCAGACTGCTCTGGAACTCACAGTGTAGCCCAGACTGGACTCAAACTTTCTTTCTTTCTTTTTTTTTAAGGCAGGCTTGGTGCTGCTGAGCTAAATCCCCGGCCCTGAACTTGAACTTTCAATTCTCCTGCCTCAGCCTCCTGAGTAACTGGGATTACGAGTCTGTACTACCAGGCCCCACTGTTTTTATGTTTTCTATTTTTAATTTTTTAAAATTAAAAAACATTGTTTGGTACCGGGTATCAAATTCAGTACTTTGCGCTTGTGAGGCAGGTGGCAGCATCCCTGAGCTAAATCCCCGGTCTCTCTCTCTATATGCCCCCTCCTCTTTTATTTATTTATTTTGGTACTGGGGATCAAACTCGAGTCCTTGCGTTTGCAAGGCAGGTGGGAGAACCACTGAGCTATATCCCCAGCCCTTTCCCACTCTTTAAAAAAATTTTTTTAAATTTTGAGTTAAGAACTTACGATGTTGCCCAGACTGGGTGAATTTGGCGATCCTGCCTTGGCTCCCCACAGAACTGGGATTACAGATGTGTACCACCATGTCTAGCTACCTACTATTATTTTAAAGTACATGGTAAAGTGATGTTAAGTATTTTAACAGTATTAGGTAACTACCACCTCTATCTAGTTCCATGATGCTTCCATTACCCCGAATAAAGATCCTGTACCTTTGAAGCAGTCCACTCCCTTTTCCTGTCTCCAGCCCTGGCACCTACTAAGTTACTTTCTGTCCCGAATGGGTTTCCTGTGAGTGGAAGATGCACTATGTGGCCTTCGGTGATTGATTTCTTTCCCTTAGCCTAATTGAAGAGCATGTGGCAGCCATTCTTTCTCCTAGCTGAATAATATTCCTATACGAATAAACCACATTTTATCTATTGATAGGTAGTTCAGCATTTTTTTTTTTTTTTTTTTGGTGTGTGTGCGGCAGTACTGGTGATTGAACCCATTGCTTGCTCACTTGAGCTGCCCCCTACCCTTTTTTAAATTTTTAATATTTAGACAGCGTTTTGCTAAATTGCCCAGATTGGATTTGAGCTTTCACTTTTTTTTTTCTTTCTTTTTTGCTTTTGCTTTTTTGTTTATTGTTTTTTTTTTTTTTTTTTTTTTTTTT